AAAGTAGTACAAGTTGGTCGCACTCCACCTTCTCAACGTGCCTCTAGTTCAGCCGAAGAAAAAGTGCTTTGTCGTGATGATGTAACCCCCAGCCGCGCAGGTCATGATCGTCACCAAAACGTGTCATCTGAAGGTGAGTTTGCTTATTTAACTTCCAATAGTTGGACAATACTGATAAATAATCATTATTAAATTAATAACCAATTGACTACATTTATAATAATAGCACCACCACCACCGACAAAGAAAAGCCGACCACTGGTGTATACAGATAGTGATGATGACGACGACGCCGACTTAGTCACTTCTAAGAGGGAAGATTCCCCCCTCAATGCCGATGACGAGACTGAGAAGGAGGAGTGGGCGGAGTGGATTTTGAAAAAGCACAACGAGGTAAATATTTGAAATAATTTGAAACATGAAGCATCAAATTTAATTTATAACTTTTCCAGATTGTTGGATTTTTTGAGAATGACATTCGTATCGAGGATGGAGCAGTCTCCAACTTAATTCTGGAAGAGGATCCAATTTCTGGAAGAGTTATTGAAGTTCACCCAGGCATAATGGCGGAGCTCCTCCCTCATCACTTTCGTGGCGTCAAGTTCATGTATAAAACTTGTTTTGGGGGCTTCGAACATGAAGCACGCTATAAGTCTGACGTGTTCACTTTGGATTATCTCGTGGTAAGTAATTTCTAATTTATTATGCACGTTTCCAAACGTTGGAATTGAAAAAAAAGATTGTCATGCATTTAATTGGGTATATTTTGCAGGGACCTGGAAGAGAAGTTCAAGTCGCTGGTTTCGCCCAGGCAGTACTGCAAAACCAGCCACGACCTGGAATTACGACAATCCTTGTCATCTGCCCCCTTCTCAAGAGAGAAATATGGTCAGATGAAATTCAAAAGGGTTTTGAAAATGTTGACCCCGATCAACGACCTCTTGTTCATGACCTGTGGCAAGGAGAATATATCGAAGAGAAAATCAATTCTTTGAAGTTGTGGACAAGTCAGGGAGGAGTCGGAATTGTAGACTTTGATCTGTTCCAACAATTGGACGATTATTACGTGGACGATGATGACGACGACTCTCGGGAATTTATTAACAGCACCCTCTTTACTCCTGGTCCAGCCATTGTGTTTTTGGATTATGAAAGCACTGATAGACGATATGTTAAGAAGAAGTATAAAGGCCTCGTGAAAATAACTACTACCCGACAGATAGTGTTCCCTGATCTCGTAAGTTCAAACAAAAATTTTACACATGCAGATAGTGGTCCAATAATTGGAATTATTTTTAGAATTAACTTTTATTTCTATATACTTTCAGTATTCAAACGACCCTGAGGAACATATCAATCGAGTCATCTTCAGAGACTGGCTGTTAGTTACAACCACTGGGTTCTTCAGTGATCATCACAAACAATTTTTGTGGTTGTGTGATTTGGTTAACTGGCATACGAAGAAAGAAGTCCATTGGGTCAGGAATGGTGGATTCGCAACCACACAAAACATTGGGACAAACTCGTTCCTGAAGTCCGAGTTTCCAAATCACTGGAGGAAGGGAATTTCAAATCGTGCTCAACAATATAATACAACTCCTGAAAAGCGAGAGAAAAACAACATTTGTCTTAATGCACAACGATTCAAGACCCCAAATAAATATGTCTTCTACATTCTTGTAATCTCTCCAAAAATTGGACCCCTTACCCTTCAAGCCTTATGCAACCCCGACTTTGACCTCTCCATCTATGTCGGTCAGTGGAATTCAGCACATGTATTTGGTCAGATCACGTGCAGATCAGATCATTTTTCAAGACCCGGCCGTCCAGTCTATGTCCTCACAAGCGACCCCAAAAACCAATGTCACGAGGTTCTCGCACAACAGTGCTTTAATCAGTTTTCTGCTCATTTTGGAGAAGCGTTTCTTTTGGTAATTATATTTTTTAATCTTTATTCCAACTGTTGGATTTATTTTAATAATTATCTCAATTTAAGCATCCTTTTCCCAACAGTACTATGCCGATGAGTGGAACAAAAAGAGTCCAGAAAAGCCAAAGTTCATTTTGACCTCCAACACTTGGATGAGAATGGCGTTTTGGAGGAAAAAGCAAGAAAGATGGCGAGGGACAATGTTTGGATTTTCACTGCACTAGAAGAGGATGGTGAGCCACACCCACCACAACACGCGAGATTTGAAGAACTCTGCAAGATCCCATTTGGCATCAAAACAAGCTATCTCAAACAAAGAGTAATCCCTGGGTTAGGCCAGGGGTCCAATTGTTGGATACATTAGACTACATAATGTATTTTTCTTCTTCCTAAGTTATATGTACCTTATAAAACTATTAAAACAGGTGTGGTTCACTTTTCTCTCACTTGAAATCGCCAAGGTCGAGCCCTACAAACAGCACAATGGTGCTAGCATCCCCAGCATTGTGCCTAAGAATGCTTGTTAACATCATGATTCTCATTGTATTATCGATATTCATAATTTAATCAAAAATTACTTAGAAAACCGGTCTTGAAGAAGAACTGGGAGGAGGGAGTTCTCCAACAAATAAGTAATGTGTATCATCCGACTCATCCGGATTCTACCCTTCCAAGATAGTGGTTTGAATGAATCTATGCCTGCAACTAAATAGCGTTTGCTCATCTTATTTATTTCTTGGTGTTAAAAGCTCTAAACGCAAAGTATAACTCTGCCGCTTTCAAAAACCAATAATTCATTGTGGTCCTGTCAAATAAGTAAACTAACAAATCATCTCTGTTTTCCATTTAGGAAAGCTGTTTTGCTCTTTTGTTACAATTCAGTCATGACTTATTGATTGGTGTCTCAACAGGCACTAATTTTTGTTTAAACTTCTTTCCCTATACCCACATGAAAATATGTATGCATGTGCATGTTTAAAAGAGGGACTTGGACTTTGAGCAGGTCAAGCACACCAAAATGTACAATGTTTAATTATGCAAAAAACACAGAAGTTGTCTCATCTGCATAAACGTACGTTAAATGTACCAAATGAGACTTACGGTAAATAGAGGTTATGGGAATGATAAAGAACATGTATGTATATGTCGTACAAATTATGAAAACACTACCAGACTAACGAGCAGTTTTTTTTAATCTGTAGATTATCATGTAAGTAATTCACCATTAAGTGCAATTAATTCAATGCACGTTGAACAAATTTTTTCACGGCAAGAATGATTTATGTTTTTGCAGGTTATATTTAAAAACCTGCAGTGTGAAACAGTATTTAGCCCGAGTCAGGTTCCGTGGTATCTTTTTCTCAATCGACTCGTTTATTTCACTTATCATTTCATATTTAGACTGCAAATTGCGCTAATTATGCATTCATCATATTCCTTAAGCACCAAATTTCAAGTCGATCGGATAAGTTTTATGCGAGCTACCAGACAGACAGACGCATAGACACGAAGGATACATATGTCCTAATTCGGGCTAAAAAACTGTGGTCTGAATCTTGTACTTATCACATCAACTCAATTTTGTGCTGCACGAAAAGTCTCATGCAAGCAGCAACAATCAAATGTACGTTTTATGCATTCCCACTGCTTCATGTAAGCCAAGCTAAACCTCCACATCGCCACCATCACCAATTTGATCTGGATGCAATTTAGGTAACGTGTAGTTAATGTTTAGATATGACGAGATAAGTGGAGTAGTTGAAGAAAAATAATTTTTAGTCAGTGTTACGTTGGTTAGAGGATGGATGGATGGATGCTATATGATGGTGAGCATAATCTGTAGATCTGTAGTCATCTCGGCATCTGAGAGTTTCTCATGCAAACGAACCATCGAAACCATTATCAGGCGCAGTTAAGTAATAATCTTATCGGAGGATTTATCTGTATCTTTCGAGATTGGACACATCCGTAGTTCTTATCTCTAAAATAAATTTCATGATATACCCTCGCTGGTGGCTGTCGTGATTATTATGGTCGTATTATTGCTCAGAGACAGCAGCATGTACTTGTGTACATATGTAAGTCTGCACATATGTATAAAGATGTATATGTGTTATTGTCCCAACGAAAAATATATAATAACGCTTCTTCTTAGTAAAACCATAGCCAGTCAGTCCTCGTAATAGTAATAATGATATGATAACCGTGCAACCACCTGCACCATTCTCCCGCCGCCTTTACATCGTCATGATTTGCTTTAGACATTGGTCGATAAGTTTTGTAAATGTAATGTGAGAATTATTTCATTATTTTTTGTCGCTCTGTCACTATAGGTTGATTCAAATGGATTAGTGATTTAAGTAATGTGTTGTTGTATAATATGCATAATAGTTGTGCATTCTTCCTCTTGAGCCTCGTAAATAAAAGTAAGAACACGTTATGGGGACAGCAATGTGTGAATTGATGGACAATAATAATGGGTTGGTGTGCATTTGATTCGCCTCAAAGGGATATCATTGCATCCAATTAGCATAAATTGTAATCTCTTAAGGATTGATAGAGATCCAATTACAGGTGTCAGCAACCAGACTTGAGATGTACCAAGCTGCCCCGGGCTATATTTAATTACCTTTCAATCAATAATTACATCCAGTACCTTGTTATTTATCTCCTATTAACCAAATTCGAAAGGAATCAACATAAATATTAAGGAGATGGAAATCGAGTTTTTGATGGCCATTACTGCAATTTATTAACTTGGTATTATACAAATGTACATACAGCGTTCCACTCGCTCTGCATTTAAATATGTACAAGCAACCTGCTCCACAAAGACACCTTTTTCTTGAAGAGAGCATAATTGCCAATACAAATATTTAAATGAATTGACGCCTATCGGCTATCATCATGTCATTATTCGAGTAAGTAATTAACCTCTCACAGCCTTGGATGCAATGTCCTCAAATTAATTGAATGATAACAAAGTTTTCTCACAGATGAAGGGACACAGAGTCCAACTCATGCAAAAGCAATGCAAAAATAATGATTATTATTATTATTATTGTCTTACCTTTGAGAGGCTTTGGGTTGCTTTGTTTCCGTCTTGACATTTTATTGGTACCAAGAGGCTGTAAAATCCTTGGGATAGTTACAAGTTGTCTCGCAATTTCATTTATTGATAGTTCCCAATAAAACTGACTTGAGTCATCCTTGCTAAATCTCACTCAGACTCTGTTCAAAAACATATATCGTAAGTTTCCTTTCACTTCCAATAAAATAATCGGTGTTATGTGACTAGAGTTTCATTCATGTGTCATCATCATGCACCGTTGACTGTATGTAAGTGTTAAATATTACATAGTTTCTTCATGTTTGCTTTTCACATCCTTATTTGATATGCCACTACGCCGTAAAAATGTTAATATGGCAAACATCTTTTTTTCCGATCATGGAGTTTTGAAATAAATAGCGTCCACAAGTTGGAGGTGATAATAATAAACACTTGGACCACGTATATCGGATGGGTGTTCCTGATATCGCGAATCCCTTCGTGATAAAGAGATGCGACACTGTGATAAATCTGATACTTATTTGCACTGAAAATAATCAGAACCTTCCTCGCTACACATACGCAAATGAATCACTCTTCATCGGTCCCAAAAGTTGAACTACAACGAAGGAAGAAATTGGGCCAAGCTTGGAATTTTAATATAGTCGAAAAGAAGCAGGCACTGGTTAGTTAGTTATTGAGTGAGAGGTGCTTGCTGATGATGGAATCACACATTTGATAACCGGATGAATAATTTTCATATAAATAACTGGAACAAATAGTCACAATAGTCTCAACCGAGTGACGATATTATTGGGATAACTTTGCACACATCCACGGTTAGGTTAGGAGTGTTATAAAATCCGTGTCAGACTGTAAAATCTGTCATTCCAAGAAATAACGACTCATCTCATCGTTGCCCTCTATTTTATGCATGCAGATGTCCAAGAGATAAGTACACAAATCAGAACTTCGACCTTATTGTTCCATCGTCGTATCCCAATTATTTGAAATGTTATTCAATCCGTAGTTCGTGTAGTGCTCGTATGTACATAATGTGTACATAAAAGAACGCTTTTCCTTCTTCTTCTCCTGATCTGAGACGACGATCCGATAGGTGTATTTATTTACCACATGCGTCTCTCACCACAAAACTTTTGTGATTCATGCAACTATGCAAATCGTGTCTTAAATTTCTACGATATTGTTTGCGAATTGGTCTTCTCACCGCTTTTGCTGCTCGCACTGTGCCAAAGCTTTTCTGCACTCCACTTGACGTGAGCACGTGGGGAGCGAGACCGAGTTGTGGAGTTGAGACGAGTAGCCGGCTATGTGGACGCCTTGAATTCCAAATTGAGACTGACTGAGACTGGTTGAAATCCCAACTCCACCACCTCGCACTCAACTCCGCTCCTTGCTTTCTGCTGCTCCCATAATCTGAGTGGAACACTTTTACTACATTAAAATACCTGCAACAACTGTCAAAATTGTCTCAAATTTGTTCCGTCTTTGTCCGTCTGATGAAATGATGGATGCAAAATAAATACGATTTACCACAAAGTGAGGAAAAGGCATCGGTAATGAATAATGTGTAGCTCTAAATAAGCTGGAATTTAATGGTTTCACACACGATGTATATTCACGTATGTAAGCAGGGATGGGCAATCCCAGGATTACTTTAATCAGATTAAGTAATCAGATTACATTGAATGTAATCCGTAATCCAGTAATCCACGAAAAATTCACATTTTAAAGTAATCCATAGTCCGTAATCCTAACCAGGTCTGGAAATCATGTGTAATCCGTAATCCCAAGTTTACGAGATTGGAAAATGTAATCAGATTATGGGTTACTTTGTTGGATTACTTTGCTCCTGTAAACGGCATTACAGCTCCATCTTGCAACTTCTCCAGAGTCTGAGTCACTTGCTGAACATGAGTGCTTAAACTACCTTCTGGATTCTTAAGCAGAGGTGCAAAGTTTAGAGAATTTTGGGACAATTAAGAGGGGTTTATTTACTACAACATATTTTTGTCTGCCCTAAGAAACCGACTGTCAGATGAATCATTTAAAGCTCTCGTTTTTTGAACTAATCATCATCATGAAATATTAGTGTGACGCTATCCAAAATAAACCGTTGCAAATAAAATGTAGCAAAGGGGTGGAGTGAGACGGTCACGCTGTCATGGCATGTCAAAACTATGTCTAGATTTTATTTTTGAAATCCCCGCCCAAAACTACGTCTAAACCTATCAAGACAAAAATTCGACATTTTCGACTTTGGCGTCATCGACACGGTCACTCGGTCATGTCACGTCAAAACTATTAAGATTTTTGTAATCGTCGCCCGAAACTACGTCTAAAACGGCCAAAACAAAAAAAATTGCACACGTTTGACCCGTGGCGTCATCACTGTGGCGCCGTGACCTTATGACCTACAATTCCGATTTTCGAGCTCATCCGTACCTCAAAAATTAGAAACCCGTTGGCGAAAGCCGCATGTTGAAATTCGAAACAGTTCTAAAGTTATCGTGGATACAGACCGGCGGACAACATTTTTCCATAACGGGATTTCGCTTCTTTTGACCCATTAACATATTTTTGGAATCCAGATAATAATCCGTAATCTGATTACTGTAATCCGTAATCCGTAATCCACGTCATTAATTTATCCCAGTAATCCAACAAGTAATCCACATTATTTCAAGGACGAAGTAATCCCAATCCCGTAATCCCATGATAATTTTTAAATTAATTAATCTGTAATCCGTAATCCATCGAAAGTGTTGGGATTGCCCATCCCTGTATGTAAGTCATTCTATGCAGTTATAAAATATTTTGACCTTGGTTTGTCTTTGATTTGTAAGGAAGATAAGCAAGGAATTATTATTTCTTGAGAGTTGTTGATTACACAAACCTTATCAATCGTACTTGTGTATTCTGCTACTTATTATTACGATTTATTTCTACATTGTTGTAATGACTTAATAATGATCTCATGCTATTTTTGAATATTTGATAATGAAACGAAGAAGTATTTGATAGTGTTATTAATGTGGTAGTAGAATACTTTAATTTAATGGATAATTATTCTTCATCAAATGCTTTATGCATGTAAGTTTCGCAGAATATCCGGCGTAGATATCAGGATTAAACATGTAAATACGTACATGTCCTTATAACGTGTAAAGTTTTGTGGTTTTCAATTCTGGAGATAAATCTAACATTGCAAAATTACCACAAATGAGTTAAGGAAAGTTTTAATAATCTAAGGAAAAGGAAAAGATTGCTTTGTTGTTACAACAGGGCGTAAATGCACATATGGATATACATACCTTAACGAACGGAATATGAACATACCTAAAAACAGTTGCATGCATGCCTTGTTCCGATTTTGACGATAATGATGATGAATAAAATGAGTGAGAATATACAGCTCAGTCATTCCCATCCTCGCTGTGCATTGGACAACCAAGATTTTCATCAGGTTGATGGTATCATCCCCTTCAAGGGAATTCCACAAATTTGTGATCTGACCACTTACACCGCTTATGCGCAGTCCGCACGGTTTTCTTCACCAGAATTTCCATTGTGCGATTATGAAAATCTTGCTAATGTTTTACCATGCAATGAGCGTACTCACGTCAACCTTCGCATATCTCGCATATCTCGCAAATTGAGCATAGCAACATAACTTGCGAAGTTTTGCGAGATATGCGAGATTTCGCAAAAACTTTGCTGGAAAACCATGGGATTTTTGTTCGCAAATTTACCCAGCAATCGAGCCTTATGTCCTTATTTCGCAAAATTATTTCGCAAAGTAATTCTGCAAGAGAAATTACAGAAATCCATGGAAACAATACCAAAATAGGTGTTTTTCAGTAGATTTGCGAGATAAGAGAGTTTTGCGAAGTCATATTTTGCTAATCCCCTCACGACAGAAATATTTTGATCTTCGCAAGTTTGCTAAATGAGTTGCGATGCGAAATAAGAAGTTGTCGTGAGTACGCCCAATATCTCAAGGATATCTCAACATTTTTGGTGAAGGTCTTGGGAAAAGTGTCGGTGTCGAAATCATTAAATGTCTTCTCCAACTATGAAGAACGAAAATGTTGTATACATTCATAATTGGTAGCATAATAACAAACACTCGTTTTTTCGTTAACCCAGTTGATGCATAAGTATAAAATCAGAGGGATGATGATCATCATCATAATTTGTAATAAATTTATCCTTAATCCAGTGACTAATACTCACCCGAACAATTTGAATAAAACATTCATCACATATTATTATTATCTAATTAAGCAGTAGTTGCCATCCGGTTTGGTCATCTACTGAGGAAAACTGATGTCCTGCATGATTGATAAGACCAAGACGATGAATTTATAGTGTCCACTAACTCTACTCTGACGAACCGTCGTTAGCTGCTTATATTATATGCGTGTGATATACTAATGTTCTGTACATACATATGTGAAATTCTCGATAAGTTGATGTACAAGTCTGTGGCATCGAAATGCTGGTTGGCGATAATGAGGAAATGGAATAACGATGAGCTAAGAACGGCATATCATCAGCCACACGAGATATGATATCACCACGTCCTGTGCCTCAGACTTGTCTGTGTCTCTTCTTCTCCTCCATCTAAATTCTTGACTAATATCCTCCAAGCAGAGGAACGGAACTTTATCTCATGCGCTACATTCTCAGATGTGGTTATAATTGTTGTGAGCTTGACTTTTTTACCAAAAACTAAACAATGGGTATGTATGTAGTGTGGTGAGTATTCGATTCATCTTGATGTGTTGATGGTCCATTACATGTGATGACGATGATGAGACATCTTAAGTGATTCGATTAGATATTATTGTCTCATCCGTCACCACCACTCAACAGAATCAACAAAATCAACACAGCAAGATCGGAATTTCGTTGTACTAAATACATTCTACCACAACCACTTGTACAATTATAATCTCTGCTAATGTTTTTCTCTTAGGTTTAAGTTTTCAGTCCAGGCCTCCTACATAATTCAAAGTCTTATTGAATTGTTCCAACTATAAATTTTCGAGCATTACTAATTTCAGCTTAAAATGCTAAGAAAGGAAAAGTGTTTTAAAGAACCAAGTTAGTCAAGCAGAATATTAGTTTTCACATAGGTCGAGATGATGACCATGATGAAGTTCGTAATATATTTAGTAGCATTTATAAATGCACGGCGTCATATGTAACAAATGTACCGATATTCCTACTTACAGCAAACCGACATAAGCCAACTCTTCTAATCTCTTCCTAATTCACATAACTGAAATTCGCTACATAATTATAATGTCTCATCAAAGCCAAAACCCACTGAATATTTAATTACATATTAAAGACATGGGGACCTCGATTATTTAGGAAGAGATAATTACTCCCTTATTTTCCACTAAATAACTCATGAGATCGATAGAATTACTGCTTGGATTCTACCCGAACTATACTTTAGACGTTGGAGAATAACAGCGTGATAAATGCTAAATTAGTCTATTCCACTATTCGAACATGACGACATCGCGATGCATTGCATTACACATAATTCCAAGTTTTTGGAGGAAAATATATCATAACCAATATCATGCGAGGTTGAAAAAGGAAGGGTATTTCATTTCGTTGGCTATTTACTTGCAGTCGAGATATGTTCATATATTTGAGACAAGTAAGCTTGACGTTATTTAATGTTGAATCGATCCTCTCCTGCTGAAAATGCCGTTTAACTATTTTTTAAAAATATGACAATTGCTTTTTTAACACTCAAATCAAAACTTCTTACATAACGTGAAATTGCTAAACAAAATTCTGTTGTGAACTTGTGAGACTAACAACTCCCAAATCCAACGAATATTAGAAGTTGAGATTATTTTACGTTAGTTGGGGGATGGTTGTTTTCAGGAAGAATGGCGCCACCTTGCGACCAAGTTTGGAGGAGACGGTGGCTGGCCCGGTGGGAAATGTCGAACAGTTGTTTGGAGTTTGTTTACAACAATGTTTGTCGTTACCTTGTCGGAGGTAATGTAGTAGCAAATAGTGAAAATTCATTTTACAAACTATTTTGTAAAATTTGTAACAATTGAATTATCCGGAGCACCGCAAGCCAGCAACGTTCCTCTTGTGGATAAAAAGTAACAGTTTTACCCTGCCTATTAATTTATAAATTTGTTTTTGTGACTTCTGTTTTGCTTGAAAGGTGCCGATATTAATTAATCAAAACCTGAAATTAATTATATATTGCATTTCAAATTTTAGGCACACAAAATTGTCAAATTGTGAAGCAAATTACTAGTAATTATTGTATTCTGTTATTTTTCAGAGCGGCTGTATTTATCAACTAGGTTGATTGATTGTGTCCAACAAAATTAGCCATGATTTGCGCTTTGAGCTGACGAATCTCACAAATATTGTCGACAATTGAAATTGTGTAAAATGTCCCACATGTTTGAAGTCGGTAAGGCAGGCAGGAGTAGGAATCTACAAGTTGATGAATTTTGGTTTCAAGTAATTTGTGTATAATTTGTGACAAGGCTTGGGAGGGCAGGCTGTTAACTTCCAGTCGCTGGCTTTGTTGGACACGGGATCATTGGTTACAACTTCCGGTTCCGAGCCTGGTAATGTAACTGACGAATTTATGTAAATATAAATAAATTGCTGAATTAATTAAAAAAATGTCATTACAGGGACATTTGTATTTGAAGATGAAGGCGACATTTTTCAATGCGGGCGTTGTAAAACGGCGTTTGGATCGTTGTCAGTTTTTATGTTGCATAAACATAAACGGGAGTGTGTTACTTCCTTGTCTTCGTTAACGAATGTCTCGATCAAAACTGAATCCTCTAAGGACGATTACAATCTGTCGACTAGCAATTACATGACGGATGGTGGAGAAATGATCTCTGATGGAATGAAAGTGAATGGACGACAGTTTGTTGACGCTGGTCATAACGGTGTGTTGACTATATCTCAAGATGAGAATGGGCCTGGTACCTCGGACGATGGGATGATGCCACCAAACTCGATGCTACAGTCCATTGTTCTGACGGATGATACAATGTCTTTAACCATTCCTGTTGATCAAAACTCTCAATTGGGACAACTAATATCTAGTTCCAACTCCCAAACAGTGAGTTGTATAAAATACGATATACATTCTGGATGAACTTATTCTATATATATACTTCAATGTTTGTTTTTGTCGCCTCAGGTACTGCATATCCCAGAAACCGAGTTAGCAGCTCTCATTGCTGGAGAACGCTACCACATATCAGCTTCCACAGACTCTGCAAATTCCGTAGGCTACACACAGATTATTATTTTTATTATTAGTAGTATTATTTATTTATTATGTACGTACTTTAACTATAGATGAACTCGCAAGGATTTTTCTTGACTGCATCACTTATACCGTCAAATGTTAAAGAACCCCTTTCTGAAAAAAATATTCCGGATCATCACTATGATATGAACGAGGATCATGGGAACTCTATGAATTTCTTTCACTTGAAAAAGGATACCATATTTAATAGTTCCGAGACTGAACCTGGGGAAGAAATACATAAGTCCGAAGAAACTGGTGTTTTGAGAATGCGAAAGGAAAAAATTGTTGATCTTTCAAATCGTGAAAACACTCATCAACGTCCAAGCAAGCCAAAACCCAAACCCTCTTCTTCCCTAAATGTGAAACGAACCCCGTCGGGGAAAATTTCACTTGTGACTCAGAAACAAACACCTGAACCAGCTGAATCCAAACGCAAAGTAAGATTTTAAATCAAGTTGGGCAAGTTATTGCCATTAAATATTATAATTGCGTTTTTATTTATGTTTGAATCATAGTGTGAATACTGTGGAAAACCATTCAAGAAACTATTTAACCTGCATCAACACATCCGTAGTCACACAGGAGAAAAACCATTTCATTGTTTGGTAATATTTATTGTGTAGCATTTTGTGGTTTCTTGAAACTCATTTGGACTACTTTTTATAAACTAGGTCTGCGGCCGAGGATTCACTCAAAAGTCAAACGTCAAGAAGCATATGCAGACACACAAGGTGCATATTTCGACCATAAATTGTATAGATTAATTAAAAAAATCGACATCAAATATATTTGTACAACAAGATTGTAGTAACTAATTCTGCCTATTATGTGTCATACTCATAGGTTTGGCCTAAAGTCAAATATACTCTTCCTAAGGAGCAAATCTCCGTTAAATTAAAAGATGGCGAGCCAATTCCCGTTGACAATGGAGAGCCTAAAACCGTGGAAAATGTTGAATACATTGTCAACAATGTCTGTATGTGTAAATTATAAATATAGAAGTCCATATAATATAATTAATTATATTTCAGACTTGTTAGAAAACGGGCATATGTATTTTTTAATAGTGCAGATAATTGATTTCTCAATTTTATTTTAGATGTTTGCCAATATTGCGATGATCAACACTTTGAGAATTATCATAAGCTCAAAACCCATTTATCTCATGCTCATAAAAATGAAAAGGTAAGATTTTAAACAGCATAACAGAAATCTATCATTTTTGTGTATTACTAAAATTAATGTAGTATATATACATCTTTTTTTAGCTATTCAAGTGTATTCACAAAGATTGCATGGCCACGTTTCTGGAGGTTGAGGGTCTAATTTCCCATATGAAAACTCACGAAGATCAAATGTATCAATGCCAGAATTGTCCCAAAAAATTTAACAATTTGTATGACCTTGGGGCCCATCAACCATCTCACAGACTGCATGTCAACAAAGTTTCGACTGCCCCACCAAAGTATGTTTCATAAAAGTCAAGTTATGATAATAATATTAAACTTACCTCTTACAATTTCTACATAACTTGTGGTATAATAGGCAATTTCGATGCACGAAATGTAATAGCAGGTATGGTCCTTATTATTTCATATTATGTAAATTATTCGAAGTCTCAATTTGTTTAGCAATACAAAGCACTTACGGAAAATAATGAGTATTAAATTTCCCTTGAAAATATTTAATTTTTAGATATTCATCTTCTGAAAGCTTGACGCATCACCTATTATCAAGCTCCCACAATTACCCATGTTCCCAGTGCCAGCTAACCTTTGTTTGTGAAAGATATTTACGCCGACACCTTAGAATTCATGGAACAGTGGAGTAAGTTCAGTAATCGCAGATTAATTTATACATATTTATTGTACAGTAATAACTTCGACCTGAAATACTGAAAACTAACAAAGACAAGATATCTTTCATTGATCATTGATTTAATGAAGTATATATTTTTTAAGGAAATTCAAGTGCGAGCTCTGCCAGAAAATGTAATTTCGTAAATCACGATAATTAATTGCTTAAACTTTTAGTTCATACCTGAATTTGAATGTTCATATTAAGGTTTAAGACCGAGAACTACTTGAAGTCCCACTTGGTTATCCACAGTGACATAAAGCCGTTTCATTGTGACACGTGTAACCAGGCGTTCAATCGACGGGATAAACTCACACGCCACAAGCTGATGCACGATAACCGAAAGAAATATAAATGTCCTTACAAGCATTCAGGATGTGAGCGAGAATTTTATCGGAAGGATAAACTCAAAGATCACATGATGTCACACTCAAGAAAAGTCTATTCATGCTCCAAATGTGGCAAGAATTTCTCATGGCCAGTCAGGTTAAGGAAGCATCAAGCAACTTTTCATCCGGAAATGTTGTCCAACATTACATGCCCCACTTGTCAAAAGGTACATTTATGCCATAATGAAATAGTAAACTTAAGAACCTCTATTATGCATGTATAATGAGGGTACCTCTAACAATGTGTTAATGGTATCTAGATTTTCAAGACCAAACATCATTTGAAGATTCATTCTTGTAAGCGGGCAGAAACCACAAATGTAATGCAGCAGGATCTGGGCGAAGTTGGAATTCTGGTGAGCGAGGGCAATTCTATTTCTCAACAGAACGAAATAGAATTGGCAGAAGATAACTTACTTGTGGGCGAGTCGTCCAAGGTTGTGGTTCTGTACAACGACTGTGAGATAGAAGACTCGATAAACAGTAATGAAGATAAGTGCGAACCTGGAATAATGCTCGGTAGTTTTACTCATGCTGATGATCCTGAAACTATCATCTTTACTCGATATGCTTCCGACATGGATGATAAAGAAGTTTGCACAGAACTTGAAACAAATGACGACATTGGAACAATCGAAATGTCATTTGAAACTGATGGCCACATTGATCAACTTATAGTAAATTAGTCTATTGAATTAGTTCCAATTATTAACATACTGTATATATCATTAATTAACATGCATGCCACAAACAATGCTTTAAAGGTTTATCGAGATTTATGGAAGATTTACTTTTCTAGTCAATATACATTTATTAATCTCGTGAAAAGTCTTCAATTTTTGACGAATTATATATTTCCATTACATGCCGCCTTGTGCAGGCAGTGCATTTTTGTAAGAATATAATGGTTGGACTTTATGGTAAGCGTAGAAAATTAGTTAATGAGTCATATAACTTTATTGAGGTTTGGTATCTATATTCAGCGGAAATAGACCATGATTTGCCAAACCACCAAAACCTGGGTGTCTTGTCAACTTTTTTAATGCTATAAAGCAATACATACAATATGAATATGTACTTTATTTGCATTTATGTATATATAGTTGCATTTCATCATATGTATGTACTTGTTATTTTTTGACTTACAATTTATTTATTTATGTAAATTAATATTTGTAAGACGTTGTATTTTATTACTTTTTACTGTATAACTACACTTACATAAATACATTCTTATTATGCTGTCTAACTTCAGCCCTTTGGAAAAAAGATATTATACAAACTCTGTGATTCAACTACTACTTATACAACCAACCACTTATTATCTATTCTGCTAAATATGTAAGAAAACAGTACGCGACGATAAATGGCAATATTTTATACATGTTTGATAACAACTCTGAAATGCAATAATGTGTAATCGTTTAATTAGTTGAGGTCATTTTGTCTTGTAATAATAATAATGGCTTCTGTAGTGAGTAATAAAAATTTTGGAATATTTTATTTGTGTTGATATATGTGCATATATACCTAATACAACATAAGAATCTTATGATAAGATGCAACGATTATCATCGAAACTACAATCCTATGACAGTAAGTTTAAATTATATTTCCATTTTCACAATTGATGACAAAATTTTATTATGTCGTCTGGAGCAAGAACATTATTTATGGATAATATTAAAACGTAGTTGAGCAGCCTGTGAATACGAGGAGAAATCAAGATCGTATATCGGATATCCCATTACTTGAGATTTCTACTATTTCTACGAGCGTCTACAACCCTACAACATGTCCAAACACTGATAATGCTGTGAAAAATGTCAAATTTGAGGAATCGTCAACTCACAACCAGGAAAAAGATACTTCCGTAACATCTCTGGTCATGAACAACGGAGTCGACGTGCCTTACAAAAATTCAACACATTGCAAACAAGAAATTTGCTTTCAAAAAGATTTCACACTATGTATCCTACTTTTACTTATTTTTACCACCCTGTGCATAGCTGGCATTATGATTCTACAATACATACTTGTGAAAAGCTCAAAAGATGAAACTTGATTAAGTAATCACTTTGTAAATAAATCGATGTATTTACTGGATTGGGTCAGCGCATATGTACAACGTACAAATATTTTATAGACATTTATGGTGCATTATAAATTCTTTTTGCAAACTTGAGTCTGTTTTTGGCGTTAGTTGGCAAAACTCAGCATTTAAGAAAGCTTTCCTCGTCGTTATTTCGCCATTTCAGTATCTTATTTGAAGTCATCAGAGTGCTTTCAAGTTTGTCTTTCAAATTCCTTTTCAACAATTTTAAGTTTTCAAAGCTACGATTTATGAAAGATAGGCTCTTGATGAGTAAAGTAGTCATTTGGCAAATACAGTTACATACGTATGTAGAAAATCTGCTGAGGTATTAAAAATCGTGAACATGTTAAACTGAAATTTAATATTTTTTTAACATTTACGTAATCAAAAGACACAAAGAATGAAAGGCTTTAGAATGAAAAGCTCGTAATGAGCATTTCTGGAGTTCTTTACGAAATAGAGATTTTTTTCCAAATTTAATTCGAAAAGCCAAGTCAGCAAACTCGTTGAGAATTTTACATCCATACACACATTCACACGCTGATTTCAATGGATCATAATCTAGAACTTGGAAGCTTGTCTGGAGTTCATTTAAACGTTGTATCAGTTGATGTGAGTACTTGGTATAGCACTTGTTAATAATTTAACAGACTTATATTAGCAATGATTATTATAGGAAATTGAGCGTCAATTTCCTTGAAACTAATTAATTCCTATGCAACAGGCACAACCATTCATGGCTCAAGCTGAATACAGATTTGGACACGGTGTAATAACTGGAGGGCTATTTGGAACAGTTTTCCAAATTCTTGCAGACCAGTTGCATTTCAGGTAGAGACAGAAAGTGTAACAACTAAATATTAATAAATATGTGGATCAGTCCAATTTATACATTACTTACAAACCGCAGCTACAATTTAACAATTTTGTATGGATATCGATATGGGGCATTTCGAAACGGTAGTTGGGACGGGATGATTGGGCTTCTTAGTAGAAACGAAGTCGACATGACGGTGTCTGAATTATCAATGACAGAAGATCGTTTGGATTTAATTGGCTACAGCATGGCACTGGATTCAGTAGGGTAAACTAATATCTAATAATTTTATATGTACGCATCAATTGACACTTTTCAGTTAAAAAAGGACTGAGTTCCATATCAATTAACTTCGTTGATTGAAACTGTATTTCTTCTCAGCCGAAAAATATATATTCGAAGAATGTTGCAAGAGGTACCCTTAGACTGGAACTTTTACATTGCTCCATTCTCTGTAAACTTGCATTTTATGGTGCTTTTCTGGCTTTGGTCAATGTCACTCATCCTTTGGGTTTTGCAACGCTATCCAACTGGACAATTTCCCTATACTTTTATGCACCGACGCATTACCATGAAGGAATACGTTTGGATTGCCTTCTCATGTCTTTGCCAGAAAGGTACAAGTTTCAAGTAATTGATCAACTATGCACAAGTTTAAAAAGTTGTTAACATGTAGTTTTACTAATACAGGAGCTCATCTGCTTCCACATATCAGAAGCTCCAAAATTGTCTTCCTAGTGTTTGCTTTCACTTTTCTCATCGTATACTGTGCATATTCAGCAACTCTCATTTCTCAACTTTCCATAGCTCCTCCAGTCACTATTCCATTCAAAGGTTTGCAAGATTTTGTTACAAAAGCCAAAGGTTGGACGGGTGGGCCGATCAAAGGCGACCTAATGCAGCTTTACATGGAGGTACGGTGCTCAACATCACAAAATAAATAATTCAACGTCGATACATATGTACATGTGTATCAAAGAAATGTTGTAATTGAACTTTTAAGATTTCCCATTACATTTTATTCGTAGAAGTCCTGTCCAGTTCTACTAAAGAAGGGACCAAATGCACAGTGTGAATTGTTGGTTCAATTATGGACGAAGGTTGTTGAAGCAGAAAAGAACAGACTTCCGACAAGCTTTATCGAAGGACTTGACCGTGTTCTTAAGGAAAAATTTGCATTCATCGCATCAGGTCCCGGTACAAGAAATATCATTACGAAACACTTTCCAAAGAAGGATGCCTGTAACATTTTTGAGATGGATGGGGACTACATTTCATCTAACTTGGCTTTTGGCTTCAGAAGGAATTTTTCACATACACGATCCATTAATAAACAGTAATAATAATGGTGTTCAATTTCCTTAAATTTCTTAACTAAAACTAAAAATGAATTTTCCAGAATTCTGATTATTCGAAGTTCCGGTATATACAATAGACTGCAAAGGATTTGGCTCCCACAATTTGAGCAATGTGCAGAGTCAACGACGAGTTACACGGATGCTGGAATCAAGAATGTTGGAGTTGCACCCTTGGTCTGGTTAATTGGAGGTTTATTAAGCCTCGTTATTTTAATTTTTGAAATGTTGAATTCGCTAACCGTTAACCGCTCAACGCTGGAAATGAACAGTGTGTACAATAAAAAATACTGACCACTGATATACGCATGCAAAATATGTAGGTATATAGATATGTATTTACCTATGTATGCATGCATGTACATAAGAGAAGTAGTTGTTTATGATAAATATGGACATTGGCACTTGATCTGGATTACTAACTTAGCTGCACTGCAGTTTGTAAAAAAAACTTCCAATAGCTCGTGTGTGCTTATCCCTCCAGAGATGATTTCTAACACTAGGGTCCTCAATAACTGTCCTCAACAACACCGAAGCGAATATGGCGTCGGAGTGCAATTTGAAGGAGAATTTTTTAGGGAAACCCGAAAATATCCTTTGGATTATGAAGCCACTTGACCGTTTTAGTAGATCAAACTCATTCATCCAATGAGTCATCAAGCAGCATCTTACAATTGTCAATCATGAATGGTGCATCAACGATCAACGCATTATTTGGTGATAAAATTTCTGCTTTCATGGAATTGTGTAACGCAATTTGCGTTTAATATTTCTGGAAATCGTTATAACGAACGAATCTCATATTTGCATATGCATACATATGTACATACATACATCACACTGTTGACTCGAGCGTTATTCGCAATGCATACATACATATACGTATGCATTTGAAAGCTCAAAATGTAGTTGCAACTTATCCATGTCCATAACATGTAGATATGTGGGTGGATATGATACTGCAAGTGTTTTGATTTATTGATTCATTAAATGATTCGCGTGTCATCCCAACCCTATCATTCAGTAGTTCAAGATACATACAATAAAATTCATTCACAACTCCACTGCCTGTCACCCGTGAGCTGAGCTGTAAGCCCACCAATGGAAAACATATTGAATTAAATAACTTTATGTGCAGGCGAGTTATCAGTAAAATAAAAATACTTTGTAAATCAGCTGGCAGTGCAAATTTAGAGCAGCTTTCTTATCACGAGAGCAACTCACCTCTGAACTGTTTTTTATACATATATATGTACGCATACATATAAAGCGCACTGCAGCTTCGTAAGCCATAGCCATAAATATTATTATAATTATTATATTTTGTTTAGCATCTGCATTCTTAGCATGTGCATTACTTTCTGCATAGCCAAAGTCAAAATAAATGCCACAATGAGTTTAAAAAAATTACAACTCCCTAATATTTAAGAAATTTGAAATTTATATATTTACCAAATGGTGAGGCTGATAGAAATGATTTCATACTATACGACCACAATTACATACGTATTCGAACAATTATTTATGGTTAACGATCCTGTGAGACTTTATAATCAAATCATTATGAAGTGTATGTATGTACATATAATAAGCCATTGATTGGAGAAGAGGAATGACCTGACATGCATGGAATGATGCATGCACTGACCTGTATGTATAATTTAATGATAAACACCTCGAGTTTTGCATGGGTAGCACATTTTTATCTTTAATTTGCATGTTGGTTTCAACTAAACTAATAATAATGGAATAATTTAACTCATTAAAATTAGATCATAATCATGCTGTAGTCCCTTCTTCAAAATTTAAAATTCTATGATGAATTTCACCCTTGTTGGACTTTAGTTGGACTTTTAAAAACAGCTCAGCAGTTTCGATACATTTTACTCGAATTTCAGTTGCACGTGTGGCTTTTGCGCAATTATAACGACATATTTATGGGCGTTTAATTGCAATTCTGAATATGTAAATATTCTAAATATACTGAACTTATTCTCATCCGAATTATGAATTCAAGCTAACACGACCAATGCTTATGTAGAAACTGGAATTTATTATAGATACACATACATATAGCAGAAATGTATATAGAAATATAGCGCATTTAAAGAAATTAACCCAACTTTGAGCTGCTAATTTGATTAGCTCTTCTACCCGAATTTAATACGGCACATGTGGCGGAACTCGTATACGTATGTATTTAGAGAGCAGGAGATGGCAACCGGGTGAAGGGGCCGGATGGAGGTGACCACCGGAGAAAGTCAATGACGGAGAGAGCTCATCACGAGGAGATCGACCGGACACCCGATACATGTCATGCTTCCGCATCACAAAGAAAGACAGATTTTTACGCCTTGTTAAATCCTATGAACGGAATGGCTGATTGGGTGCTTCGAATGGAAGATTTGATTTTCACCCATGGCTCATGGTTGGACTTCCAATATTGGAAACGTATAAAGATTCCCACTCCTTCTACCATAAATACATGGTCGTCCCTCTATCTCGCTTTACTTTTACTTGAGTTACATCTCCACTGAGATGGACCATGCTCGCATTCGCCGTCGCCGTCCCCGTTAACCTAGGCGAAGTTCAGCTCATTCTTCACATGAGACAGGAGGAGAGCGTCTTCTTTTCATGAAGGAATCCGGGGTGATGGGGCTATGCGGATGTTTCACATTTATCTCTTGACTTAACTCGAATAGAAATTCGGTACAAAGTCACCACAGTGAACGGAACAGGGATGAGTAAAAAAAAAAGGAATCTAATCGACTGGACACGACTGGGAGAAATCCGTTGTTAAATCCAACCACAAATCGTAGCATTTCTCGTTTCACCGTGCCGTTTCACCGTATTGAACTTTTAAACACGGCCAGATTTTTCGAGCATTTCGGAGTGATTTAGTAAATAGGGTTTACTATTTAGTGTGCAAGTAGCCGCGAGTGTAGAGAATCTAATTTCATTATCAAGAAATTTTGCTCAACAGCAATATCGTCTTGGATCAAATAAAGAAAACAGTTATGAACATGCAAGTTCATCGAGAGATGACAGATTTGAGAATAACGACCCACATACACATATCGAAGCCCCTGATTCATCTGATTAAGAAGTAGATTAAGTACCAGTTGAGAAAATAAGATGACAAATGTCAAAGTACGTACACGAGAAATGTAATGTGTGTATGTAATTGGATGAGTCGTCAAGCCATGCATTCGGGTTTCCCCTCTCACTCTCCTCTCTTCACACAAGTTACATAATACACATTCGTTTCGTCCAACTCCTGAAATCTCGCACATATAGAAAGCCGTATGTGTAGAAGGACGTGCTGGAAGCAAACTGCCCCGATCCTTCGACCGAGATGGAAACTGAAACATACTGCTCATTTTTTCAACGACCGAGACAGAGGCAACATTTTACGAGAGTTTTACAGCCAATATTTGAGTTTGAGTAGGAGGTAGCGTAGTATTATATAACTCCTCTGAAATCAGGACAGCGCACGACACTTACATTTGTACAGATGGAAGAATATCAAATAATATTGGATTTTGGAAGTAAGTATTTGGATGGAGAGATTGTTAAGTAATGGGATGAACGGGGGATGATGAGAAGCCTGGGATGAGCAAGGCTAAACCTGATGATGATGGAAGTACATATAACAATTTGTGTCAGTGAAATGTCAAGAGAAAGTGAATGAGAAGGATCCTGCCGCCCATAATCAACTCGACTGTCATCTCTTCTATATCATTAGCGGTCTCCGTCCCGGCGCTGCGAGTTCGAAAGACACGCACCTCGTGTCAACATTCATTCGGCTCAAATTTTTATTTTATAATCATAATCATATCTCGTAAGCCCTCCGTGCTGGGTGGAACGGGAAACGGGATTCGGTCGTAAAAGAAGCCCAAGGAAGTTGACAGGATTTCCTCGCCACCACCTTTCCCCACCAACCAACTCGCTCGTTCTCTCCCCTCACGTTCATGTCATATCACTCTTCTCTCCATTTGTCATTCAAGGCATGCATACCTTGTTCTGGTTGTGATCACTTCACTCATTCGGCCTCCTCATCGTGTTAAACATGAGCACAAACAACTGATTATTTTACCCCTTTGCCACCCAGCACCAAATAATAATCGTCCAAATCTGATGATTGAGTAGAGTTAATCTCCAAAAGGGTTAATTCTAATCTAGATATGTATGTTCTCACTATATAATTCAATGGAATACAAAAAATAAAAATAACAAATCTGCCAACTTCATAAGAGCCACGTTTTGTAGTAAGAAGTGTTTAATTGAAAAAAGGAGACTCGCATCTAGAATAAAATGAAGCAATAAAAGTCTGCTCGTTAAGCAAAAATTAATTTAAACTCCTCCTTATAGCTTGAGTTGAAACCACAACAAGTTCCGTGCGGGATAAGGCAACGTGGAGAATGTATTTGTAGAAATAAGGTGCACGGGAAACAGCAGTTGCCTAAAGGGGCAATTTATTGATGTCAATGCATGATGCGAAATCCAACTAAAGAAACTAATCTGGCAAATGTGAGCATTTTACGCCCCACTCTTGTCCCACCAACTCCTTTCATCAAAGACCAATTCGTTCGAGACCAGCATCGTTTGTTTCTGGATTCGATACGCACTTGAAGAGGCGATTATCGTGGGGATGAAAGACAAAAGATTTGGATCTGGACCATTTACAGCGGTCTTAAATAAACTCGAAACCAAAGTTGGGTATAAATTTCAGTCTGCATTTGTAGCTTTTGTGGTGATTGAGAAAATGAGATTGGTATTATGGTGGAGAGCTCTGTGTGTGTTTGTCTGGGTGGCATGGACGCTTGTGGTCTCCACGCCTTACGATGCGGGAGCTGAGCAGCAGAGCATTATTGGAAAGAAGGTAAGTCCCAGCGGAGAGATTAGTAGCTTATCGACTCAGCAAAAGTCTTACTTACTTCTCCAATGAGCCATGTACATATTGGAAAGACAACGGGAATAGAAACAGCAGCCAACGGGCTTTTTCTCATGCCCGGCGACGATTTCTCTCCCACTTTCTCTTTAAGCCAGTAAATAACATTTCCCTGATCCTCATTAACACTGGCCACTTCCAACTCAATTATTAGTTCCAGTGATACGCCCACATCCATCCGAAGCCAGGGCGGGCCCAGCGCACCTACTTTACACGGGACATATAAGGATATGTACATTTGGTTCATGCATATAAGTATATACATATGTACGACTATTGTGTGCATACGTACTAAATACTACTGGTCGGTCCGAGTTAAATTCTTGCAATCAGATCATGAAAATGACATTAAGTTTGGGTGTGCAGAGTGGAATGGGGAGCAGCTCAGAAAGAGGAGCCGAATAAAAGAATGATTTGACACCCCACTCGATGAGATCATGAAGCAACCCAGCGGAGGATTTTTATTACTAAATCGCTCTCATTAAATCTGCTAATGGCATTTAATCTGGATTTATTGAAACGTTTCGGGATCTTATTTCTCTAATTTATGTCATCCGACTTTCTTGTGTGTTCTTCAATCGCTGAAGGTTATACATACCTCGAGTTGCTGGAAAGATCATGTTCTCTTAACCTTCAGCCTGTTTCTACACCGAAAGGGCCATGTATAAATATGCTAATATATTATTTTGGGCGAGTAATCCAAGTAATTTAAATACTATCAACTATTGAAGTGGGTGGTTTAAATTTAAGTGGAACAAGTTTTGCTGACGAATTTTAATATGATCCATTGTTTTAGAATTGAGTAATTTGCAGTTCTCACATTGTATCATGAGAAGTTGTACATATTTACATACTTATAATGCAAGATTGAAAGTTTGTTTCTCATGCAAGTGCTCAAGTTACTTGCATTTACATCAAGGAAAGCCATCTTGTCTGACTCATTAAAATGGACACCTTATGCTAATAATTTGGGGCATGTTGAGAATCTATAATTTTGCAACGACAGAAATATCGTAGCTTTTCTGTGATTTCTTTATTGTTTGATCAACAATGATATTCGTAAGTAACTGACCATTGATAGTGAGGCTGCTGCCACCCCCTTCGGTCGGTCAAGCTCATTTCATTAAGAACAAATAGGGAGAAAAGTTTATAATGCAACAACTTTTTCCATTGAAATTCAGAATCCCATCGTCCATTATTTTTATGACCAAAGAGAAGGGCATACTCGTCTCATGAATTTTCGGCCGTGCTCCGTGGTCATTGGTTGGTCAGCGAATCCCACGTAATCTACAAATGGTCTTATTTGTTGAACCGAACTAACCCAGTCAGTCGTTACTCAAAAAGCTTCTGAACAGGACTACTGGAAATTCGGTTTGTAAATTTCAGATTTCATTTCAGTTGAAAATCCTCCAGAAATGCTATCACAAACAACTCACAAAAGATTAAAAATGTTAAATCCCTTGTAAATCTTTGTCATCTGAGCAGAGCCAAGAATGTTCAGGGCAGATTCCACTTTGGACAGTTACTACATACTCTCACAAGAGGATATTTAGGGTGACCAGCCAACCCAAGTAGGGTGGGCATCGCATATACCAATATGGATGTACAGTTGCTCATCCGACCATACTATAATTTCTAATATTTGTGTATTCCTCTTATTATTGACTAAAATGTTTATGACATGACTTGAATTGTGAGTTTTCATGTTAGTTACACACAATAGATATCCCACGTCATTAGTATAAGTAAGTATTTTGTCAAATATTGTATTCCTCAGCAAACAAACTAATCTACAAATTGCATGGGGACGTTGAGACGGGTGAGATGGAAGTTGACAAATGTTTTTATTGTCGCAATCATACATAGAGGTGTCCTGTCCGAAGAAGATACATTAAAAAGATCCATGCTCGGATTCTGAAAATTAGAGGTCATAAAATGCAGAAAATTTTCAGGGAACAGAACAAAGGTTTCCGTCAAAAAATCCAGTCTAACATCAAAATATCAATTGCTACTTGTAAAACATTGGACCTATATTTATCCGCAGTGAAATTCTAGAAAAATTTGGTTTTCTAAAGTCTGATCTATGTGTACTGCTTCTCACTCACTATATTGTCACAAACAAATGATGGAAAAATTCGATCCTTTTATCGCTTACGACGGTTTTCAACATCATTCGAATGACGCCTTTTTAACGGCACCCTGCCTCCGCATATACATATGTATCTCCATTGCCGATAATTTTGCACGTTTACCTGGCGTAAGAATCCAATAAATATGATGTAACATGGCTGCGAGTGAAAATTTCTGAGCTACTTCCGCATTTTCTATAAAGATCCGTCACCAAAATAAATATTGGAAAGCGACTTGTAATCCATTTCTCATTGCCTAGGTCAATAATTTACCCTGACTGAGCAATATTTTGGGATTCTGATACTGACAACGTCATGGATTTTCATTCATTGAGAAAACGAATTCAACAGGTCAAATCAGGAATCGCAACATCAACATTTTTTCATCTAGATTTCTCAGCAAACTTCCCCTACATACTTATCCCTGCGGTTTTGTGCTGCCCTATGCAGAAACGTGGTTGTCTTCCTTCCGTCTACAAATCCTGGAAAGTGTGGAGCAGCACTGCTGCAGGTCCTCAGCAGCAGTGTGATAAATATTATTGATTTATATATCATATCACCTGTAATAAATAGCAGGAAGTTCATGCAAAACATTGCTTGTTTTAGTTTTTATATTTTTTTAATTCATAACGATACAATTCATATTACATGAAGGGTGTGAAATTATGTATGAAAAACATAATGCAGAGACATGCAACATACGCAATCTTAGAATTACAAAATTTGGGGCAGAAGGCCAATTAGGTTCTTGTTGTTGTGTTTCGAGTTACATGAAATGAGACTACCTTGTGACATTTGTGTGGTGATTAATGCAGCGAATATGAGAGGAAGGCCAAGGCAATGATAAAAACAGTCACTGGAGTTGTTGATGGTTTAAACTACCACCTCTTGACGTAATCCGTCCTTATTTAGTGCAATTTGAAATACAACATTTTCGAGATTATTTTTAAAAGTATGTCAACGCGTCTTGTAGATTCTAATAATACTTTGTCTGATTTTTTATGTGCTGTATTTCTTGCATGGCGCAGTATAAATACATGATTCCTGAAATCTTTCCACTAATAAATATGGTACTAAATACATACATGCATACATATTTATGTACATATGTAACACACAATGTTGCATATGTATGTACGTAACTTGTTTAAACTGCACGAGCATGAATGAATGAATTGATGAAATTATGGATAACTGGATGCAAAATGTTGTCATCCGTTGGACATTTAACTCGCACATTGTAAAAATATGGGTCACAGGTCATAATTTTTAATTTTGCACTCTTTAAAAATGAATGGGTTATTTTTAATCCACCAGACTTTTAATTGAAATCACATAACTAAATATATTGAAATCGCATAACTTGAAAGTGGTTGAAAGTTTATGCAATCTCGTGTGGAAGGTCTTCTTCTTGTTTCCTCCGTTTCGTACCGTTGTTTAAAATCCACGACGTTAATCACTAGATAGATGACCTCAACGGGAGGATGTTCATTATCGTTCCCTCATGATTCATGAGTATATTCTGAATGTATATACGTATATCGATATCTATATACACGCGTTCACATATGACGATGACCCCCATCTGACCGGCTTAGGAGAACCCCCACTTTGTATATCTGTTATCTCCAAACTTTGTATATCCTTATCGCATTGACAATATTAGAGTCCAAAAACCACGCTCAACACACATACATAACATCGCATCACTTTTATCATCTCGTATGAATGCAATAAACTTGTTCCTTACTTATGAATGCAGATATTTGCAATGTGGTATTACACCAGAATTGTACTTTGCAATACTTTGTATGCTAATCTCTTCAACCTGCCAGCAAAACCAATTGCAACGGGTTGTTGATACCCTAACTCCCTCAAATGTGTATATACCGGTGTGTGGCGTGTGACTCTGTTATAGATGGCACGCTTATTATGGTACGTAATGCAGCATCACTTGCAGTGTGATTGGCGATATTTCACTCGAGTGATAAAGAGTGAATGTTTAATTATTGCAACAATTTGTATGGGCGCATCAGATTAATGCATGCACAAATGGACCTTGATTCTTACGATAGGATATAAGGAGCATGTAGCAACGCGACCACTGAATACATATAAATATGCATACATGTTGCCACCCACTAAGCAAAATGACATTACGGAATATCGGACCAGTGTAAAAGTGACGACGGGAAGGTTCGACGGGTATAAGATTAGCGGATAAAAAATCCCTCCAAGTGCAAATAATGCACATGCACCAGATAGTGCTGATTGTGCATAAAATACTTCGCACTTTCTGATGCGCGTAATACTCTCAAACGGGACGGGACGTGGATAAAAGGACTCAGAAGTTGGAAAGAAGGAATCGATTCCTTCTTTGATGGTGGTGATGTGCTGGAATCAGGTCAAGCTCAATCTATCGCTAATACAATCTTTATTAATCTCGCATACCCTTTTCCCCAGTGGCTCGTCCACCAATCCGTGTTTCCGCCGTTAAAAGATTTTTAAAAGGAAAGAACGCGAATGTTACATATCGCAATATTGGGCCAAGAAGACATTTAAGTGCTTAAACTGAAGTGATGAGACTTGCTAATGCTGGAGCAGAGATAGAGAGAAAGAGCGCGAGATAGAGGAAGAAAGCACGAAATTACGGAACGGAAGATACGGAGAAAGCAGTGAGAGAGATACGCTGGCTCGGAAACAATGGTTGGTCGGAGGACGGGGATAATAAATGTGAATTAGGATGCTAATTGCCACTGGGAGTGAGTTGTGGTTGGCTGTAGTGTGATAAAGCGGATGGTGGGGACGGATGAGTTAAGGGAAGAGTTATCGGCCGAGGTGCGTTTTCTGCTCACGTTCGTTTTGGGCTGAGCAGGAGGAAAGGAATCCGGGACTTGAAGGCGGTTCGCACCGACGTAGCTCCCTCCGCTCGTCGCCCCTTTCCCTCCCTCGTACGCCAACATCGAGAGGAGATCACGTCGGAGGAGCTAGTTTTCCTGCATGGACCAAATCAGAGAACTGCAAGAAGAAGAAGAACGAGCATTGTGTGGGGCTGAGAGAGAGCGTATAATAATGCGACGCTTACCTCCTCTCGTTCAATGATAATCCTTCTCTACTGCCTGCCCGAGTCTCACTGGATCCAAGCCACTGTTCTTCCCAGCTAGCTCCGTATATGTACGTATAATATGACAGCTTCCACTTTCAATCCGTGACACACGTTGTTTGCACGTCTCTGCAAAATCATCAATTCGGTTGCTCCACTGACGAAGCATTTATTGTTTCTTGAAGCAAAAACTGCAGCGAAGGAAAGTGTTGGACAGAGAGCGAATATTTTGCTGGCGATTGCTAATAAATACTGAACGGAAACAAACACTACTAGTAAAAGTTGTTTTACGGTATTGTAGTTGTCTGTTTGTGAACCTGTTGACCTGTTACTGAACAGAGTTATTTACACCTCGATAAAAGGACAACTCATCCAAGTGTTGTCTTTTAAATAACTCGTTTACTCGCTTGGTATACATACGAGTGAATTGAGGTGAAGTGAGACAGTGAAAGTAGATACTCCGCAGTTTGGATTCGTTTCGTTTGTGCATGCAGGATTTTTTCTTGAGGTAATAATACTTTCTTTCTACGTGAGATATGTGATTGTAGAATGGTCAATGGCTTTTAAAAAACCTGTGCAACATACTTCTCTCCTCTAAACAACTTCTTGATTCTTGGCTTTACAGATCTACCAAATATGGTGATGCACAAAGTGGCACGAGTTGTCCAGCAAGGAATGGAGAATCCGATGGATGGAGGATCATTTCCTGAAGGTTCAGAATACAACGTGGAGGATTTTGACGAGTACTTACTCATGCAAGAAGTACAACGTGAGGAGCAATTGAACAGGTGCCGAGCCCTGCAACCCAATGCGACTCTTTCTCACCCTCCACCACCCACATCTCATTCGACCACCCTTCATGACATGGAAGGTGGAGGTTCCTCCCACCACATTATGAACGGAGGTAACCACATCCTTCCTGATCACCAATGTCCATCACAAGGCCCACAACCTCCACTCAACAATGGACCTCGACGAAATGGACACCCAGGCAGCGTGTTTTGCCCCAACGGCCCATCCTCTGGAATTTCTCCCACACGGCAACAACAACAACAGCACAGCATTAAACTTGGAAGTCCTAGTACTCCACCAGCCACACCCCCTGATGCTTCCCCTACTCACCCTTATCAACTCCCCTCCTCACCTGGTTTCGCGAATGGCCCCATTCCCAATAATCAAATGCACCACACCGTCGTTGTTGAGCACGAGTCCCATTTAAGGCTCAACGCCATGTCACAAGAAGAAATGGGGATTTGGCAACAAAATCAGCACGGTTTACCCCCTCACCGAAGACAATTATTTGACAATCCATTGGATCTCACCCCTCTCGGGGGTCATGGTGGTCCGGATGGGATGGAGCAAGGTTGTGGGGGCTGGTTTCGTAAAATCGAGCATCATCCAGGACATCAACTCCACGGCTTCCCCTCCCCACATCCGTCAATGGGTCACCAGGGTCAACCGAACGGCAATGGTACTGGAAGAATGTCGTCTCGTGAGCAGGGCGAGTCAAGGGATAGTTTCGACACACACGACTCGGATAGTTACTGCACTTCGCGACCCATTTCCGGTGATCTGAGTGAAGATCAGTTGATTGCATTACCAGGTAAGACTTGAATTGGAATTGGTTATGTTTCGAGAATTTATGCCAATGACTACTAAAACTAGTCTCAAAATGGTACGCATGAATTACATATGTACGTAAGGCTGGGTTTATATTTATTGGGTGATGGCCAACTCCACTTTTCAGTATGTGATAAGCTTCCTATTCTTATCAATCTTTTTTCCTATATATGTATTATTCACAGTGAGAGAACTAAACAAGCGACTTCACGGATTGCCCAGGGATTTGGTCGTGAGGCTGAAACAAAAGAGGAGAACTTTGAAAAACAGAGGATATGCACAAAATTGCAGAACGAAAAGAGTCCACCAAAAAAACTTGCTAGAAGAAAAGACCCGCATTTTGCAGAAGGAAGTCCATCGCTTGATCCAGGAACGAGACATGTGGAAATCTAAATGTGAGCACCTTCGAAGAAGTTACAATCATAACAACAACAACAGTAATCAAATCAATGCCAACACCCAACAGAATGGATTAGTGCATCAAAATATCAATCCAGGAGGAGGTGGTGGACCCAACAACAACAACAGTAATCACTCTAATGGACCCATCCATCCCAACAGCAACGCCAACCACAGTCACAACCACTGCAATGGAAACTCTGGTGGGAACAGCTTGCAAGTCGCAACTGGGCAGTTGGATAAGCAGAATCCCATGCTGAACGTCCCCACATCTGTGTCGAGGTACAACCCCTCCCGTTCCCCAACCCCTGCTCAGCATTACTGACCCCGTCTCGACGGCACGTCCTTCAGTCACCCACCGACCCTCACATGATGACAAACAACATGATGATGTTACTTAAGTAGTCTTACTTTTGTAATTCGGCTAACATTCGACGACGACTATTAGCGGTATTACACAAATATTTCAACAAAGCTCAAATTATTCTCTCATATAATTTACTCGCAAAAAAGCAAACTTAAGCAATCTCACAACACAATAGCATAGCAATATACATACATAATGAGACTTTAAAATTAATTATTCACTGGTCGACAAGAGTTAACGAAATTGCTAATTACTGACTTAGAAATCTATATACATTTAGAAATCGATGCAATGATCTTTGATGTTGCAAAAAATATTGCACGAGCTTCGTCATCTTGGCCACTCACCTACCCCACATGCGATAACACAGTGCAGCAGGAAGGGGAGTCGTTATAGGTTGGAGTGAGGGAGAGTGAGAGAAAGTGCTGACGATACTTTTCCGGCTTTCATCTTCTTCTTCTTCTTGATGCAGTCGAGCATCCAGTTAGGAAACCAATTTGGAACTCTAAATGGCAAAAAAAGATTCGTATAAACAATGGTTATCAATGTGTATAGATTACAAGGTAGGAGGGCGTCTGTTTTGTTTACGGTTCGACTTATTATGGAGGGTTTCACGCATTTGGGGCATCTTGAAATTTGCATTAAAACTCAACTAAAAAACTTTGTTCTCACTTTCATTTCATATTTACAGTAACAATAATAAGTTTTTTTAAAGAAAATTTTGTAGAGTGATCTATTACTATGATCTATTTATTATTAAACGGTTAAATAACATGATATACATACATTTTCCCAGTTTTGTTTTGCTAGATGACATCGTGCTTGAAGCAATGTCTCAGTTTGTCTCATAATGTCGCATAATTATTCAATTTATTGAGTCAATAAGTATTAAAAATGCGATTGCTTTCTGAAGTAAGGTTGGAATAGTAAAAAAAGTAGAGCATGTATGGAATTATTATTAATTTAGCAAATACACATTAAACGGAACTAGAAACAATTCAAGGCTAAGTCTTACCTGTTGTACCTGGGTATAAAGTTATGTTGTTAAATTTTATGCTTTAGTGTACTGCACCAAGTTTGTGGTTGTGCAAATTCAACTAACTTGAAAAAGTCGTAAAAATAGGAATTGGAACAATGTTGTATGCAAAATTGAGTGCGGTTTGGTAGGAAAGAGATGAGAATTATGAGAACATAAAAAGTTTCCTTGTGGAGGCTTAAGTATAAAGACTTATCGCAAAACTTGTGCTTGTAAATAACCCGATACGTACTTAAGTTTACAAATTCTGGAGAGAGAGCAGCATAGCCGCAGCAGCCGAGGAGGAGAGGCACCCAAAACAGAGAGCGTTCAGTACATACATTCCGCCAGTACTTGTGTAATTTGAAGCACTCGAAATCGAAACTTCCTCATTGCACGAGGACGAGGTACACACACATTATTGGTCGGTAATTGTATCGCTATCCGAGTACTTACTTAACTTATTATGATACTTTGTAAACTAATGTAAAGGAACGAAACGTGCCAAATTCGAGAAAAACTAACTCCACTAACCCTCATAATTTATTGCGTTTCGTGTATATGTACATGTATAAATTCTCGTATGGCATTGTGAATTTAATTGCTGCTACGAGAACCTGCTCCAGAATGGATGTCGGCATGTTACTTAAGTCGATATACTCGTATAAATGTATTCTGTATGTCATACATAGTTAGTGTGTGTGTCTAATCAAACAATTATCCGTTTCAATGATGTAACACATAAAAGTCAAGAAAGAAGTCTCATGCACTAATAATGTTGTATTATGTATAATCTTACTTACACGTGTAACATGCTTGTTTCCCATCGTCACTAATTTTATTCAAGACAAACTATTAAATATGGTTTAAGAAATGGAAATTTCAATGGTGATATGTACAGAAATTTTAAATTTTCATGTCAATAAATTACGAAAATTGACTTTATATTATGCACAGTTTGACTTGATTACTTATTTCATTAATGAATTGTAGGTATTATGATTTCCTCATATGCATTACATACATATGCACATTCAATGAATGAAAGACCAACTTATTTGTATAGTAAACTGCGATATTACGAAATATGAATTATAAATATGTATATCATCTGATGTCCACATGCCCTACTGATGCAGTTTTGCTTCCTTTAAACTTGATTCATTCATTAAGATCTTGATGTATGATGTATGCCTGACCTTTGACCCCTGCCATAGTCAACATGTTTATGGAGCATCCTGTGGTGACTATATATGTATCATAATTCACCAAATGTTATTATCAACGCTTTATTGCCCAAGTATTATTTTTCGTCGCCTTTTCTTGGAAATTGTTCCCAGCTAGACAAATAGGACTGTACAATTTCTTAAAAAACTAAATACATGAAAATATGCATGAAACATTAAGCAATCAGAAAATGAATAGATTTGAAGGGTTGAAACGATGAAAAATATCCTGAAAAGTGCCTGAATGGGTACTTATGTTACTACATACATGAGTTGTTGAAGATTGATCAATGGATTAGCGTGGTAGTTCATTAAGCACGTCTGATGCTGCTCTTGATATTTTGTGTAATTCCTGGTCCTAATACATCTGAACATAAATACGACTTTGGGCTGCGCTAATACTGCTGTTAAGTGTGCTCTTTAATAAATAACATAAACTGTTACGGACAATGAACAACAGATTTGGCGAAGATTACCTTTGGAACCGTGTTTTATCTCCATTATGGGACGTCTCATCTAATTTCTCACACACAACTCCCACAGAGTCCATAAAAACCTAAACTACTCGGGAAATATTGTTTCGAGACCAAGATTATATTAGGCCATCCAGCAGCACTCTTTTTCATCTTATTTCTGTTCAAATCCACTCATTTGAAAAGGACCTGGAAAAAATAAAATTGACAATCCACAATACGTCCTGATTTTATAATGCAGATGATGATAGCCATACTAATAATAACGCAACAAATTTTATTGTCGTTGCAGTGCAAAAGAACTCATTCGTTGTATCAGTTTCTTCCAATTGATTGCATACATGATGCTATATTGCTCCGAGCTGTCGAATTGTTGTGTGACAACGTAACAGAGTAGAAGAACGGGAATGATCAAAATACATAATTCTGCTACGGCTGGAAATAAAGGGAACTGTAATATTCCATCTGTGATTTCCGAATCTCATCCCATCGCATCCAAAACAAACTTGGCCAATGACCAGATAAAACCCAATATTTACTCTCCTCATTTTCTCAGCTTTCTCTCCCTCTCTCTGAGATATGTACCGTGGACGTACGTACCTTCCTCCACAAAACAAGGGCGGCTGGAGCAGAAGGCATTTTTGTACGTAACGAAGCCCCGACGAGACGACCACGACTTTTACACTGTCCCTGATTCGCTTTCCTACTTTCTTCTCCTCATGACTTATAGGAGCAAGATGGGTAAATCTGAGTGACCAATGCAACACAATTTGATGTAAAAAATACAGTGGGGTGAGGATTGCAACGACGTACCAATTGGGATGTTTTGTTGTGTTGTCTCTGAGACATTTCTATTTTCGCCTTTTTTCCTACTACACACTATGAAAAAGTTTGGACTCTTAGTCTCAACCCCAACTCGATTGAACACGAATGAGAAGATGAACAGCCGCAGATACTTCAATTTTAGTAATTCACGGATAACCAAATGGACTCAATGCATGAAAAACATTATGTAATCTGAATAATTATTATCCAGACTTCCTCTTTTAATTTCAGGGCTCATTGCAAATGAAATGTATAAACTGAGTTCAAACCTTCTCCTACAATCAGTTACTTGACGTTATTATCAGTAAAAAATAAGTATGGGCGATTATGTCCTAGATGTAAATCCTACGTAAATGGGAGATTTGGTTTTACGGGCCCCATCTTTTTAGTTAGAGAGAGACAGACGGCAACCAATAATGGCAATGACAATAACTAGTCATAAAAATAAAACCCATAAAACTGAATATTAAGTAGGAGGATTCAATAGCCGTGTGTGCAACGTACAGTGGTGCTTCTAACAATGAAGCATATTGGGCGGACGGAATGTTGCTCTTTTGGACAAACTAGATCAGATCTGGAAAAATTCCACCAAGAAAAATGATCCGTGCATACAGACAGGGTTCAATATCGTATATATGTTTGCGGTGTGGTCGTAGTTATCGTACGCATTGCCTACGTATATGCAAAGAAGCTGTGCATATGCGGTGGTGGTGTGACGGGGAGTTGGAGAACGAAATGAGAGACAGGAAGAGAGAGAGATGAGAGAAAGGAAGGATGGCCGGATGGTCAATTCTCAATTGTGAGGACGATCGAGGACGTTGTATGGACATGGAAAGTAAATGGCGAATGGACTCAGTCGCAGATTGTACCATTCATGCACTGAATACTGTCGGACATCCTTCAAATTTTGGGAGTTGTTCTCTTCCCTTTTGGTCAGGGGAAGCAGTTAGTGCCTTTAAACCCAGTAAAGGACAATGTTCAAATCTAAAAAACCAAGTAACATTTGGCATTAACTGTTCCGCCTGCAAGGGGCTTCACAATTGGCTTTTGTCCTGGAATGACCAAAGGTTTTTTCCATGCAACATTGGTCTCTGCGATCATTCAATGTAATAAGTACATACATAAATATGTATGCCCATCATCGTGCACACTATGTAATTGAATGAATGAATCCACATTAAGCTTATTTATAGCTTTTCAATGAAAATCACCAAGTTTTTATAAAAATTTTGTATCCAATTTTGAACTAACTTGGTACATATATATTTAGATAGTGAGACTATTCTCCCGTACGCATTTCACATATTTACATATCAGGCCCACAGATCACTGCATTTTGGTCAATTATCGAGTGTGGACATGTTTAATGACGCGCAAAGTGTATGAACTGCACCCCACGGAATGTAACATGCCAGTGCATCCCCATTAGAAAGAGTTAGCTGGGGACTGCCATAAAGGGGTGAGTGAATGGGACAGTGATCGGACAAAGAAGTTGGATCTTGTTGTTATGTGCTAACCTTGTAAGCGGGCGGATGGTAAACTGTCCCGTCGGGATTTGTGTCTTGTCCATTTGACTAAGATCACAATTCCCAATCCACTCCTGTCACGTTTCCACGAACGATGTGGTCAAACGGACGGGGGAAGAAAGTTGGGAGTTGGGCGATAAAGGGTTCGAATCCTAACTTTCCGTTCTGTCCGAACACTTTTGAGTAATCTAGTGCTTTCACTTCCTTTGCATGCTTATTCACAGTCCATTGAATTGCGACATCATGCAGAATGCCTCCACAAATAAATAAAAGCTCACCATTCAAACATTAAATTTTCCGTATAACTGCTATGCCGTAAGTAGGTACTACTAATACATATTACTATTGACCTGCACGGTCAATTCGAATTTACAATGCAATTATTTAAATATGCTATGGGAAAAACTTGTCCATATCAGTACAAGTGCACATTACGAATTATCTACATAAAAACTAAGATGATATGATCTGCATACTAATTTTACTTGTGCACAAATTTTGATGCCTGTATTTTGAAGTTTTTCTTGTAGCCGGTTCAATTGAATATTTTCGCAGCAGAGTTTCGAAATGAGCTAATCTCATAAAGTAATGGAGACCGTCTATTCCATAATACCATTACCTCTTCTATTGCATCCCACAACTGTCGTAGCAAATTCTGTGCTATCGGGAAACTGTTTGAGTCAATGGGACTCCAAATGTTCAGTGTTACTGAAACACTTGTACAATGCACGAATGAGCGACAAAATCTTGCATAAACTTTTCGATAGCTAATCTGTAAATCGGTTCCAATAAAAACCGAGAGTATACAAAGGATTCAAAAAATACCACAAACGTGACGGTTTGATGCTAGTTTTATATTCAAAATTCTGTCACTTATATCTATATTGTCTCATTTCAGAAAGTAAATTCACATGTGACATCGTTTGTGTCATCATAAAGCTTTGATTTCAATCTGAAGGCATGACATACAAATATTTCTCATCTCGTCGAAATTGGCTGAGGTGTGTGATTCCTTAAACTTGTACATAAGTAACAAGCAGCCATCAGATTGTCCAAAACTTTGGTATTTCCAAGTGATTCGATGAATTATATTCATGTCAAGAAGCAAGGGACTCTGAAAATTAACTGTAGGAAGAGGAAGCACTTTGTTTTCTGAGAAAAAGTTGGATGTTTGGTATCTCGTCGTGATTTTGAAGAAGCTGCTGGAGCAGTGGAGAGGGATCTTTTTCTTTAACCTAATCGTGTAAAGTGTGTCCAATGCACAAACCAACCACGCTGTAGCAGCAGTGCAACCAACTTTCAATACAAAATCTTTCTGTGTTTTCACTCAATTTCCTGAACATGTTGGCCATACGGATGTCTAGATAGGAGCAGTCTGTTGGGGATACGGGGGTGTAAAATGGAGAAAGCGGCAACTGCTCTCTCTTCTCTTTTTCAGTCATTCAGTGAAGCAGAACGAAACTGAGGATTCTCCAATAATAAATGCTCAAATAGAGGGTCCTCGGGTCTGGGAACTTGAAGTGAGAAAAAATGAGGCTCTGAGAATCTCTTCACAAAATGTGTCTGTAGTTCAGCAAGTCCATTCCCAGATTTAAAAACAGTGATGTTTAGCGTCACAGTGGGAAGGAAGAAAAAAGATATTGAGTGACCGGGTCTGCTTAGCAGTTGAAGAGGTCGTCGCAGATGAAGGAGAAACTAACAGTGGTTCTGAACACTAATATCTCTCCAGAGATCAGAATCTTATCTGTGCGAGGAGAAATCACTCAGACTTGACCACTCGATTACTGCTTTGATAAGAGTGACCTCCTCATAAAGATGTGACAACATGCCCATTGCACGACAGACCCGACTCTAAAACTTTTGCATCTCTCTCTCTCTCTCTGCCACTGCTGCAT